CATATATATATATATATATATATATATATATATATATATATATATATAATATATATATATATATATATATATATATATATATATTTGTATTCACGTGCTGTCGTGAAATGCGTTTATTTTTATTTTTTAACGAGAATTTACCCCTGACAATAACGCGCGAACCAACACGTCGTGCACAGTGGTATAGATACATGCATATAAATAACTTTATTGAAACGTCCTGCAAATTAATGGGACGGGAAAGAGATGACGCTGGGGTTATAAGGCCAAATCACGAATTGTGAGTGTTGTAAAAATTGTCTACTTCTAAGGGGCGCTCAAAATGTATCGTTTTTTTTTTGCCATTCCGGGTGTGCAAATACCGCATCTATTTACCGTTTGTCGTATATCCCTTTATTCACCAATCTCCTAGAGTGTTTATATGCTACAACCATTCAGTACAGCAGCAGCAGTATCACAAAACAACATCAACCTCAACATCAACGCTGAGTATTTTCTGGCAAAACTCTATGCGGGCTGGTTTTGGGACGTTAAATCCCACATATTAATCAGCGTTAGAGAGCACGTTTCGCATAAATGTTGGCGGGGGCGTCGTTGGTTGTGAGCGATAAATTGCCGTGTGCGTGAGCAAAAAAAATTGAGAAAGATGCAAATAAAACAATTTTAAAATTTTGGGTTTGAGTTAGCCTCGAACCCAGGGCGTTTGCGTAGCTAGATGATGCTCTACCAAACATCGATGCGCCTGCTTGGATAGGCAGTTTAAAAAAAACCTTCCTCCTCCTCATCCTCCTCTTCTCCTTGAAAATACCGTGAAAATCACGTTTTTTTTTTTTTTTTTGCAGACACACGAGTCCTTTATACAGGCTTCACAATACCATGTGTAATATAGCGTGGTACAAGCGAACAATGTCATCAGGCTTCAGGACATAATTATCGTAAAGACTACGTAGTTTAGAGACTGTACCCCATTACAAGACAAAAACATTACAGAGACAAAAACATTTCACCAAGCTATACAAACAACACGTACCTTTACACCCTGCTTTGTTCCTAGGAGATGACCCTCTAGTACCTCTGCCTGACTTGCTAAACTTTCTGAAAGAATGTAACCTGTTAAATAAGCTTTAAAATCTCATCTTTTCAGTGTCCATTCCTGAAAGTCTTGTGTCTGGCGCAGCATAGCCTTAGCTGCTTTTGCGCCATAAAAACCAAGTTAACCTAACCCATTACAAAAGGCCCCCTTGTTAACTGCACGTATTCCCTTAAGACCACGTAGTGGGTGCATAGCAAGTTCGAAAGCATTTCACTTGCTCGCGGTTTAAAGCATGCCACCTATCACACAGAATGGAGACATTTGCGAAAGCTTCAGTGACACAAGCCACTTTCAACTTTGTCGATTACATTGTAGTAACGCGCAATTTAAACCTCTCTAGTAACATAAAAAAAATAAAAGTACTCAGTATGATGTTGAAGGACAGGTACAGGGTATCGCTATCAAGTTCAACCTTTAAAGACGAAGCTGAAGTATCCGCCTCCCCTCTTTTTTTTTTTTTTTTTGCACAACACGGCATCGCCATTTTGTGGAAACCCCTCCCGCACTCCCGTAACACTTATCTATCTATAGTCACAAGAAATGCTTTCGTGTTCTCATATACGTGCTGAGGAATTCTCCACAACCTTTATTATATATTATATATTATATATTAATATTATATATTATATATTATATTGGCACATCCCCCAAAGTCGCTATGTGCCAAGGTTTTTAGGCTACAAACAAACAAAATAAATGACTTCAGTTGTTTTATGTATATTTTTTTCTTTTTTGTCTAATTATTGTGTTTTTATTTTCAAGGTTTTTTGTTTGTTTAAAAATATAACACCTTTATATTATTACCTGTATTACCTAATTAATCCAAGCATCCCTTTCAAGAAGTGAAATAATTTAAAAAGCAAGGCACCGTCCCCTTCATGGCCTATCCCCTTAGGTGGGTTGCGCCAAGGTGTTGAGAGAGAGAGAATTAACTTTAATAAAGGTCCTGAATGGGACTGGGCACCCCTTACGGGGGCCAGCCCGGTGGCTCCGCCCATGTGGGGACTGGGAGTCGGAGCTCGCCAGCCACCTTTTGGGCCTTCTGGACGGCCTGGTGTTGAAGGGCCCTGTCGGGGCTCCTGAGGTGGTTGTACCAGTCGTCCTCGGTGGCAGGGGACCCGAAGCTAGCGTTTAGCACGGGACACTGCCACAGCATGTGACTTAAATCGCACCTTGAATTTTGGCATTTGGGGCATTCTGGCCTTCTATCTGGTAGGTATTTGCTGCAGATATAGGGGCTGGGGTAACTGTGCGTTTGCAGCAGTCGAAGCGTAAATTGTTGTGCTTTATTTAGTGCTGAGTGAGGTGAGGGGAATTTCTTTCTAAATAACTTATAGTGCGAGCAAATTTCATGATATGATAGGAGTGGCTCCCGGTCCGTGTTGGTGTCCCCGGCCAGTGAGCCTGACCACGACCCCCCGCGGCACGTAAGATCACGCGCGAGGTTATGGGCCAGCTCATTACCGTTGGGGACCCCTGGTTGAACGTTGATCCCTTCATGACCAGGGAACCAGTGGATATGCTTGTCTACAGTTATCTGAACAGATGCTAGGACTCTTAATGCCACCTGGCAAAGTGTACCGCGGTGGTATGCCAGCGCAGCGGGTTTAGAGTCGGTAAATATTGCCAAGGTGTTGAGGAACCAACCAACCAACCAACCAATTGTTACGGCGTGGCTGAAACCAGTCTCGGCTTGCGTTTCGTGAGGTCTGTATTTACGTCGCTTCGATCCTTCGGTCTCAGTAGTTTGTTTGTTTTTTCTCCATCAGCGTTGTTTGCATCTTTCCCAGCTTATCTGTGCGGTGAGTAATATCAGCTATGTGTGCATCAGTTATCCATGCCGAATAACAATCACTGCCGCTTTAATGCTTGCTTTTCTTTAACGCGACAGCGTTTTAGCTTCTGCTTTAGTTTATTAGTTACGTAAGCATCAATTACATTACACTTCTATACAGATGAGGGACCCAGAGTATGAATACTGAAAACGGGACCCTCAGTTAAAACCTACAACAAAACTAAAGAGCTTGTTTTCTTTTTTATTTTTACCTTACAGCACCTATGAAAGATAGCGTGACTTCAATTAAACCAAGTTAATGAGAGTTCAGAGGCCTATTGGTGCCCCGTTGCGAGAATAAAAAACGCAGGAATTAACTAGTACCCATCGCCATTCGATGGAGCCAATATTTTAAAGGGCTGTTTGCTTAGATTTAAGTGAATGCTAATTAAAACACCCCCAGGTAGTCGAAATTTCCGGAGCTTTCCAATACACGGTGTTCCTTTTTAACATGAAGTGGTTTTGAGACGTAAAACATGCAGCTACAGTTTTAATAAATTGATTATGTCAAATAGCCTGTGATGGCTTAACAACACTTCGTCATCATGTTGTGAAAACACTCCGAGCGATACACCACGTTTACAAGCACGCTATACATTCTTACGGAGCTTGATTACCATTCTCATTTGTTCATTAAGTTACAAAGAAGGTTCATTCCCCTGCTTAAGCCTGTCATGCTGGGCAAGAATGTTAATTTTGAAGAATTTAATTGTACAATGTTTCAAAAACTGAAAGAGTAGGCCTGTTACGTACGGTGTCATTGCTGGTCATAATGTATCCTACCGGTGCCAACAAATGTTCGGGCACTCGTGTTTCTCAACTTGATCTTCAAAGAATATTCGACGTTTATTCACAGAAGCATATGCACGCGGCACGCCCGCCGTCGTCATGCCAAGCAAACCGGCAGCCGGAATTTCGTTCCCCACGCAAGTGTTGCATAGTCCCTGGACTCATTTTGGCAATCTGTGACGTGACGACGTTGTCGTAAGGTGACGTCATGACTTGCTTTGTATCTCTCGCGTCGACGCTTTCGATGGTAAACCTTCGAGTTTGATGAGGCATGTAGGCATGAAGGAAAGGAAAGTGTCAAGCTGTTCTGTCGCAGTCACGTAGGCCCGCGCAGGGGTGATGGATGCTTCCTGGCAGGACACTACGTGCTGACAGCCAAGTCTTTCAAAAGGGCGTGGCTGGGGGAAGTCGAGCACCGGGGCAGAAAGGTCGAGGCGTCGACAGCATTGAACTTGACTTTGGAGCGTTGACAGCGTACTCGGAAGAAGGGCGACCGGTATAGCTTTTCGAACCACATGCGCTCGTCACTCCGACCTCTCCCGGCTATGACGTTATAGCGAAAGCCCGTGTGGGCTCGGCAGCGGCGTTTATACAAGCGAGAAAATCTATTTCGGTGCCTCGTTCCTCCTCACTCCCTTTTGACGCTCTCTTCTTGCCCTTTGACGTGCGCTTTGAGATCTGTCTTTGACGAGCGCGGCTTTCTTTCACAAACGAGCCAGCCGCAAAGCTCTGGAAGTTCCTGATTTCGTGGCTGGTCACAAAGCTTGCGAGGTATTTAATATTTTTATCGAGTTTTTTTCTTGTTTCTTTGTTTCATATTATGTATTAGGCCATATCGATTTTGTTGTCATTAAGCTATAACTGTGCTTTATAATGCAAATAGTGCATTTGCTGTTGTTTTCCGTAAAAGTGTGTGATCACTCTTCGCGTAGGCGCTTTACTCACATTAAGTTAAGCTCAGTGGTCCAAAGCAACGCTCAAGCTGTGAGAAACAGCGTGGTTCCAAATGGCTCTTCATTAATCTTAAACAGACTTTGTTATGCGCCATTAATCGTCTTACCAGTGTCACGTGGCCGATTCTGATCCCGATCGGGTCAGATGCGGATTAAATTTCTTGATCGTGATTGGCTCTTTTGTGAAATATGCCGAATGCAGCCGATCACCGATAAGAAATTCGGTTCCCATCGGGCTTATCGGTACCCGGCGTAACGTCGGTATTATGCAAACGAGCATTTTTGTCGTTGTTCTTGCATAATAAAACAGATTCTTTTTCTTGTGCCACAGGACAGCCGAAATGATGCAGAAAATCAAAGACCCCGAAAAAATGAAGGTTTTCGGACTTTACGCCTTCAGAAGGCACAAGGAGGTAAGGAACGCCAGCGTTTAGTTCTCGCCCTTAATGTTTGCCACACTTGGTAACGACACATGCAATGCGTTCATTGATAAGGGCATAGCGGGCAACACTGTTGATAAGTTCAACTGCATTATTGAAAAACTAAAGCCACCTTAATTAAACTAAACAGACGACGGGCTAAAAAGTAGTACGTGCCTATGCTTCAAAGTCCAGTGGTGATGAGCAAAACTATTATGAGTATGTTAAATTAGCAATGTTAAAGGCACAAACTCAATATGGTAAAGGCGTGCACGACTACAGTGCGAAAGTGGCGAAAATTCAGGCTGGGAGCACAGGCGAATTGGCGACTAACGTATCAACTTAAGGAATAACAGGCTTAAGGATACGCTCATCGAATTCTTGGGAAGGAATGACTACGAATTTAAATACGCTAGCGATAATACAATATTTTAATTGTCTTGTGTTTTTTCCCACTATGATGAAGGATGATATGCCAACGTAAAGAAAAGCTTGATTGAGAAAGAAAAGAAAGAGAGCCTCATGGTTTTCTTAACGAGTTGTCACCATGATTGTTCAGAACTATTAAATATCATTATCATCCTTCAAATGCTTTCAGTACTCTGATAATCCCTCGGTCATGCAAGATCGCTGTTACTGAATAAACGTGTCCAGCAAGCGTGCGTTTTTTTTTTTAATCTTCCAGCTAATCAAGGTTGGGTGATTGATTTCGTACTCGGTCATGCATCGTACTCAAAGCATAACAACCAAGACGGCAGTGGAGAAAGTGGCGTCCTCGTCTTTTTACTGCTGTTCGTGTCTGTTCAAATGCCTTCCCGTACAAAGTAACATGTATTTTCTCATTGAAAAGATCCCAGTGACGAAAATTCATAAGGAAATCGACATGCGCTAATTGCATGACGTTATTTCGGTCGTGCAGGTGATCCCTCTTGTCGCGATCATCTCGGTGGCCACCATCGGTTGCATCGCCTTCAGCATGTACACGATGACCAAGCCGGATGTCCAGTGAGTTTGAAACATGGAAGTATTAGTAGCTGTCGCAAACGTATGATCTCCGTGTTCACTGTGGCGGACGCGGAATTATACCAGAGAGCTCTTCTATGTGTGCTTGAGTTTGGTTACATGAGTCTAATAAGTTTTAGAATCAGGGCCTTCAAAAAGTACCATCGAGGCCATGCATGTTAAGGGTGTACATGCGCGACACCCTATAACAGTGTTTGGTTTTCGCGTGTTGGGGATGCTATTTATCAAATATAGCGAGACCTCCAAAGCCAGTACCAAAAAGGGTGTCTTGAAGGGACAGTTGGTACACGATACTACAAGGAAAAGGCACAGGACCAAGACTAGAAGTATAACACACTACATGAGCTCTCATGTATATAGTGTGTTATACAATTCTCGTACAGTTTCTGCGCCGTTTCCACTCAGTGCCCCGAAAATTTTTGCGTCAAACCCAAGGCGACATGCCCTGATTGATTGATATGTGGGGTTTAACGTCCCAAAACCACTATATGATTATGAGAGACGCCGTAGTGGAGGGCTCCGGAAATTTCGACCACCTGGGGTTCTTTAACGTGCACCCAAATCTGAGCACACGGGCCTACAACATTTCCGCCTCCATCGGAAATGCAGCCGCCGCAGCCGGGATTCGAACCCGCGACCTGCGGGTCAGCAGCCGAGTACCTTAGCCACTAGACCACCGCGGCGGGGCGGCGACATGCCCCTGAAATGACGTTTTTCAGCGTATGCTATTGGCTGATAAAAGTTTGCGTGATTACTTTAAAAAAACAAAAATCGCTTTTTCATACGGGAAAACACTTTTTTTATTTAAACATGAAATGAATGCAACTTCACGTTACTTTTTTTATTATTATTAAAGGGTATGTCTTACTGTTATTTTTGTGATAGCTTCGCTTTGACATTAGTGGAGCAAGAAACACAAGACGCAATCGGTAAGAGCGAAACCCTGTTCGCAAACTGTCATTTCCTTCTTGACACAACGCTATAGCGTACGCAAAGGACTTGGGGCCCGAAGCTTGCGAGGACCTTATACGGAAGCTCCTTAATTGCGCTACTAAGTATATATATTAAGCAAAATCATGTGATATAGATCGAGCGCAAGACGCTCAAAATATTGCCGTAGCTTTTATTAGTGCACAATAATATTTACAGCTTTTTTTTCTTTTTTTTGCTTAGACAGGCATATTTGAACACTACTGTAACAAATGAGCTTTAGATATAGTTTACGCATCAACTACTACGTTTGCCTAGGTTACCATCACATAATCATTTTTTTTTTTCAATGTGAATCCTAATGCTCTAGAATTGTATACACGTCTCTCTTTCACAGACACATTCTTGATGCGAATCCCGTTTTTTGGCAATTAACTAATTGAACTTTCTCACAAGTGGAATCCGAAGAAGTAAATAGTAGGGCTACGTTTCAGTAACATAATATCAGCTAAATGTGTTTTGAGCTAGTTAGTTTGTACAGGCTTAGTGAAATACAAAAAAATACGCGTACCATCAAGGAAGGATTCAAGAGAGAAAAGGGCGTCGCTCGCAACTGATTTTTTTTTTCAGTATAATAGCAAATATATAGCCGTAGTGATCATGCATGGCTGCTGCGTCGCATAGAATCACAGCTCGCCGGCCAGGTAAATATAGTCGTTCGCTATCTGACAGCACAGCACAGCATTAAAACAGACGTTTTCGATTCTATTCGAAAGTACTACCAAAGGTGTTGCGAAAAATATATTACTATTGCTACTTCATAATCGACAGTCTAGGTACAAAATAGACGACAGTACCCAAGGCAGGGCTGTAGCCATGAAGGGTGCCCTCGGGGCCTGGGTACTCCCATAAACGCTGATGGAGGGGATGTTTTACCAAAAATAAGTAATAAAAATAGGTAGATGTTTTTTTTTTTTTTACTAATAGTCAGGGCCTTCAAAAGGTGCCCCCCCCCCCCTTCGAAAAAAAATCCTGGCTGCAGGTGTGACCCAGGTTCGACTACGGCCTGACAGTGGTGAAGCACCCCCATCGAAATGCGGCCCATGACTCCGAATCACCCGCTACAGTAGCCTAGTGGTTAACGTACTCGGCCGCTGACCTACAGGTCGCGTGATCGAATCCCGGCCGCGACGGCCACATTCTCGATGGAGGCGAAAGCACTTGAGGCTCGCGTGCCTATAGATTTGGGTGCACGATTAAAGAACGTCAGGTGGTCGGAATTTCCGGAGCCCTTTACTACGGCATCCTTCATAATCATATGATGGTTTTGGGACGTACAATCCTTTGTTGTTGTTGTTGTTGTTGTTGTTGTAGTTGTTGTTGTAGTTGTAGTTGTTGTTGTAGTTGTAGTTGTAGTTGTTGTAGTTGTAGTTGTAGTAGTAGTAGTAGTTGTTGTTGTTGTTGTAGTTGTTGTTGTTGTTGTTGTTGTTGTTGTTGTAGTTGTTGTTGTAGTTGTTGTTGTTGTTGTCGTTGTTGTTGTTGTCGTTGTTGTTGTTGTCGTTGTTGTCGTCGTTGTTGTAGTAGTAGTAGTAGTAGTAGTTGTTGTTGTTGTTGTTGTTGTTGTTGTTGTAGTTGTTGTTGTCGTTGTTGTTGTTGTCGTTGTTGTTGTCGTCGTCGTCGTCGTCGTCGTTGTTGTCGTTGTCGTCGTTGTTGTCGTTGTCGTCGTCGTCGTTGTTGTTGTTGTTGTTGTCGTTGTTGTTGTTGTTGTTGACTGCGAATCAAACCCACGCCCTCAAGCTTAACCTATCAGGTGTCCTTCGGGCTTCAATGCTCAGCTCCAGAAAGGCGTGCGTGCTCTCATCTGTGGGACACAGCGATCTTGAAAGGGAATGTAGCGAGCACAGAGTAGAAGAAATGCGTGTCAAATGGGCGATCACTATCGCATGGCGATAATCTGCAATGGACGCGAAGATTTCTAAGAGGAACGCCGAGCGTTTTCTTTGAAATACGACAGCGTCACCCTTTCAAGCAGTGCCTTCATCGTTACTTTTTTTTTTTATCCTTTCAGGTTCAGCAGGAAAGACAAGATCCCGTCATGGATGCGGTACAGCCCCGACAAGACACAGAAGGTACGCACACGGTGTAACACAGAACACCTCTCACTCGAACTTTTCTATAACCGACACATTTCAGAGCCGAGTCATTAGGTTGAAATCGTGTATATCGCACGTGCAGTAATGATTCAATTTTCGTTCATTGGTATTACGTTGGCCCCATCACCTCAAATCGCTCGGTTTCTCCTGTGGCGAATCTTCAGAAATCGCGAAGGCTCCTGAAAAACACAAAAGATTACGCTGCGAACCTTAGATATGCCTCAGCTGTGGTTTTCATGCACAATACTTGTATACCCGTAGTTTCCTTATGTACGCAGGGTTCGCTTATAAAGAGGGGGGTGGGGGGGACAAATTTCACCGCAAGAAGACCATGGTAGAACAAAACTACGTTTCAGTTATCATGTTCTTCAACACTTCAATAATGTGAAGAATGGATATGACAGCCATTTAGTTGACTATTGCGAAAAGTGGGAACATTTTCCAATGTTCTAACCAAATTCTCAGGAAAAGGAAAGAAGGAAAGAGAAATTATTTAGGCGTTCTGCTGCATGCTAAACAAATGTGACTGTATATTGTTAGTGTGCCATATCTATATGCAAGACAGACGAAGTTTTTTTTTTAAATGTTGTGTCTGCGCTTGATGATTGTAAATGGTGTTTTCGCCGTGCTGTCCCAACCACTGCTTTACTCATAAAACGCGAGCTGCATTCGCTCTGCGATGAGCCAAGTGGATCGTTCGGGAAATCGATAAGCAGGGAACGCCACTCCAATGTTACTGTACTGTACTGTACTGTACTGCACTGTACTGCACTGCACTGCACCGCACCAAACTGTCGTAGAGGCTTTAGATCAACACTCATCAAGGCAGGAACGTCTATAGGATTCAAGAAATTATGACTTCGTGCTCAAAATGGCATAAATAGCTACAGAGTCATTCGGGCTCTCCTTTACTCGTCGAGATTTGGCTGCAAATGAGCAGGTTACTTCTAAGGCGAAAGCCGTAAGTGTTTCGTTGCGCGATGGCCTTGAGCAAAACACGGCATGTCAATAAAGTGGCACCAAAACCTCCGTGACCTTCTCCAAATGAGAATGGTGTATAGACGCAATGACGTCTTGAGATGACGTCACATGCTTTGAAACGCGATACAAATATGCAAATTCTACATGGATCATGAAAAGGATGCTTGAATCTGTCACTGTATTTCATGTTTAATTCATTCCCACAAACACGTTCAATCTCTGTGCCACACGTTCTGGGCAGTTGTCGGTTCCTAACAGTGCGGCTTGTTATGTCTTGCAACATGTCTGGTCCTCGGTTTTAATGGGGCACCAAATGTGCAGGCAGGCTTTAGCCATCACAAGTTAAGACTGCTGGTGATTTTTTTTTAATTATCTCATTACTTCTCTCGCAGCTTTACACAACGAACGAAAACTGGAAGCTCGACGAACGGACCATCGAGATGGAGAAACTACGCAAGGAGATCGGATCTACGCACTGAGCCTTTGCCAGGCGCTCAGCTCAGCGCGAGTCCGGCACCATCGGAGCGTTCCTGTGTAGCCGTGAATTCAGGCACTTAGTCAGTCTGTGGTCGGGTGAACAGAGAATTTCAGGGAACCGAAGCCTATAGTTCCCTGGCGAACGCAATAACCACTATTCAAAAATCGTTCAATTAAGTCAAGTCCAGCCAGGAAACTTACGTTGGCCTATATTTTCAAGAATTCCCATCCCCGCACACGAAGTAATCCCAGCAAGGAATCATATACAGCTTCGCCGTATAAAAATTTGTGCCGTGTTATTAAATACCCCTTTTGAAATTATGAAATCACAAGCCTTGCGAAAATAAGTTTGGTAAACGAAAAAAGACGGAAAAATAATTTTGAAGTTCCGGCACCAACTTGCTGTGGCGTCACAGATTTCGACAGCAACTACTACGGCCTACATAGGTCTTCATCCGTAAAAATGAAATACATAACTCTATCAGGAGACAGGGACTTGACTACGTTTCAGCAAATCTTGTCAACCCGGTTTCGAAAAGACACTGAAAAAGCACATTGAAATGCAGGTTATCACGCTGACAACCATGTGCAGACTTATGGGCACAAACTTTGAAAATGAAACTTTTACTTCCATTTTTTATCCTGTTAATGAAACTAAGACGGCGGAATCAACAATAATAGAGCTCTCAAAGGATAACTTGTGACTCCAAGCTGACTCCTTATTTCCCTTCAGTGTCAATTTAAACAGCCCACTAAATTCAAACAATTACTTGCCTTAGATTGATAAATTGTACTGTGATGACTAATGTAGCACATTTCACCATCATGAGCTCATTGTTAGAAGACAAAATCAAGTGTAAAGTCTCATTTAATTATATTTAGCGCCAAAATCTTCATACATGACGTCACTAACTTCAAGATACATATTTCGTACTTTCGTGACATAGTCTCTTATTTTTAGCGGAGCACTCCGTACTCATGCGCCGCGACTGAACGAGTTGCCGCGAAGCAGCGTCGCTTCCGAGCATGCGACTTTTAGTCGTAAGTAGCAGAGAATAAAGCAGGGATAAATACTAGTATGCATACTCCAACTTAGAGCACAAACGGTGGTGTGCATGGAACCGTCAGGCTATGTACAGCAAAGTTTGCGATGTGAACGACCCCATAATGACATAATCGAGATTTTAAGTCCTCCCGCTAGGCTTTACGACATGCCTTTTTTGTGTGTGTGACTTTGAAACGCGATACAGATATACAAGTCCTACTCGGATCATCAAAAGGATGCTTGAATCTGTCCTTGTATGTCATGTTCATTTCATTTCCACAAACACGTTCAATCACTGTGCCACACGTTCTGGGCAGTCGTCGGTTCCTAACAGTGCGGCTTGTTATGTCTTGCAACATGTCTGGTCCTCGGTTTTAATGTGGCACCAAATGTGCAGGCAGGCTTTAGCCATCACATGTTAGGACTGCTGGTGATTTTTTTTAATTATCTCATTACTTCTCTCGCAGCTATACACGACGAACGAAAACTGGAAGCTCGACGAACGGACCATCGAGGTGGAGAAACTACGCAAGGAGATCGGATCTACGCACTGAGCCTTTGCCAGGCGCTCAGCTCAGCGCGAGTCCGGCACCATCGGAGCGTTCCTGTGAAGCGTAGGCCGTGAATTCAGGCACTTAGCCAGTCTGTGGTCGGGTGAACAGAGAATTTCAGGGAACCGAAGCCTATAGTTTCAGTTCACTGTGCGAACGCATTAAACACTATTCAAAAATCGTTCAATTAAGTCAAGTCCAGCCAGGAAACATACTTTGGCCTATTTATTTTCGAAAGTTTCCATCTCCGGACACGAAGCAATCTCAGCAAGAAATCATATACAGCTTCGCCGTATAAGAATTTTTGCCGTGTTCTCAATTTCGAAATTATGAAACCACAAGCCTTGCCGCGACAATAATATTGGTAAACGAGAAAACGCGAAAAAGGAATTTCGAAGTTCCTGCACCAACTTGCTGTGGCGTCACAGATTTCGAGGGTCGTCTACTACGGCCCGCATCTCTCATTTGATGATAAGAGATTTTACACGAATCTCTGATTCCTCAAAAAATACCAATGGGACATCGAGTTGTTTAGTAATTGCCAATGTGTCGCATACAACCATCAGAAGGTAGTTTACGGTTACATTAATTGAAAGAGCGTCATTGAGGCGCACTTAATTCCGGCCCCGAATCACGTGGCTTGAACCAGAGGGTCAATATGATAAGTTATTGTCGATGTTAATGGAGTGTATTGCACGTGTACTTTAATCATCAATGTGGTGCTGTGGTTATGACAGTGATGCGCTGTTTTTTGTGAATGTTACGCGTAAGCGAGTTATATTAAAGATGTCATTTCACGGACCAAGTCCCAATGTCTCGGCAGTGTTTTCATTGCAATGTCATGCTTACCTCGTGTACGAGTTCCGCCAAGTGCCAACTTCTTGACCAGTGCTAAAATACTTCGAGTATGACTAGCAGTAATGGCAGATACCTAAGCCCACTTTCATGCTCTGCTGTACGGCCGTTGTCCCGTGATTACTGGTGGTTTGTGCAGTGAGCCACAGACGAAACATGTCAGGCACATAAAGCTGAGACCAGAAAAACAGCAGTTTAGATCAGAAAGCTGATATTCTAAAGTGACAAAAAGCTCAGCTGTTCGGTAAGACTTCACCTTAAAGAAGGTAAGGCCCTCAAACACGAACGCCGGCTATCGACATAAGGTGCATCACCTAATAATTCGCCCCATCGCGGTGGTCTAGTGGCTAAGGCACTCGGCTGCTGACCCGCAGGTCGCGGGATCGAATTCCGGCTGCGGCGGCTACATTTCCGATGGAGGCGGAAATGTTGTAGGCCCGTGTGCTCAGATTTGGGTGCACGTTAAAGAACCCCCGGTGGTCGAAATTTCCGGAGCCTTCCACTACGACGTCTCTCATAATCATATCGTGGCTTTGAGACGTTGAACCCCACATATCACACAAATCATCTAATAATTCTTCGCATTGTTGACAGTGTGGATGTACACTAAAGATTCGGTGAGTTGCTCAAAAATCAGGAAACGCGTGTAATATTTGAAGCCTTGCTACACCGACCAAACGACAGGCTGGGTGCCAACGTAACGCTGTTTCAAAAGTGACGTACTACAAGTAAACGAAGTAAGACTCGAGTTTTTCAATTTGGTGAGGGCATGTCAGCGATTATAACAGGAGGCTTCGATGTGATTAACTTCATTCATTTTCCCAAGATAAACTCTCAATCTGTCACAGATGGCTTCTACGGATAAAAAAATGTAGTTCCGGGATTTGTCGGCACACGGAATGGGCCACTGCGGATAATTCAAGCTCAGTTTTTTTTTTTTTTTTGCGCGTGTATGCACACAATAATGGCCATGTCTTGCTTTTCTTTTAAGAGCTGATTGTATAGCAAATTGATTTTTGTACACCCCGTACAGACATTGAGTAACTACTACTACTGAGCACTATTTTACTGAAGAAAGAAAACAGCAGTTCGTCCAACAAACTGGTATGTGCCACTGGGCAACCTATCTGAAAAACATCGTCCCGAACGGTTAGGTGACCCAAAAATCGAGTAAATCTCATTGCTCTCAACTTCCACTAAGAGAAAAGAAGGCAGCACTTATTCCAACCAATGGCAACGAAGTGAGCGCGCGTGAGCCAGAGACGGAAAATGCGACGGCGGCTGCAAGAGAGACACCGAAGCGATGGAAGGCCTGCGCCGATGACGACGTGTCCGTGTCGTGTCTGTGACTGCCCGTCGTTTAACCTCTCCGCGCTGAGAATCAGCGTAAAAACAACCCAGCATCGCTCAGCTAAAGCCTGTAGCAACGACATATAGAAGCAGCCACGTTAGTCTTAAGAATCGTCCAGCTTCACTGTTTCAAGGCTTGCGCGACTCAGGGCCAGCTTCGTCACTTTTTTTTTTGTAGCCTGTATCTAACGCCGCCGAAGATTTAGTTTGAGCTCTAGCTGGCCATGCACTCTTATGCACCCATATCAAGGCGCGAAGATGAAGAATACTGTAGCACTCGTACAGTCATTTACCTTCGTCTTCTTCGCGCCTAAATATTTGCATAAGCAATGCAGAAAGTATCGGGCAAATTCACCTTATAATCGGCCAATCCCCTCCTCTGGGTACGAGCCATGTGCAGAGGAAAACAACAACAAATGCCACCATATTGGCATGAAATTGAACCGGTGCCCTCGTAAGCCTCGTTACGCTGTATTCACTAAGCCGGCATGGTGGATAATGCGCACTTTTAAAGCGACTGGTTCCCACCGCTCGCGAAGAAAGTATTTGCCAGTGCGTACCCACATCGGGGACGGACGGTGTATACGACGACAGGCCATCAAGAGCGGGATTATCAACTTCAGGGCCCTCAAATGTGTGGCTTACAGTTACTTTTCGATCCGCACATTGCTGAAGCGTTGGGTGCAGAAACGGCAAGTCAGTAATGGCAGAATGTTGTCACGAATATTTCTTCATGATTGCGAATGGCTAGCTGCACTATACTTATCGCATCGACGGGACAATCATGTAGCAGACATCGTGCTTGGCCTATAGTGTATTAGAACGTATACTTGATATCAAATTGTTGCGCAAAAAAAATATACGTTTATGTGCATGGTAGGTTACGTGGACAAGCACACTCTCACAACAACTTATTCGTGGCCGAAGAACTATATCAACAGGGAAAAGTAATACCAAGATTACACGTGACATAATAAATAATGGAATAAGGGAATAACAAGTGCGCAGCTAGAAATCCCCTTCTCCTCGCTATACAGGCTAATTGAAGGATCACCAACACAAGCAGGTGCCTTGCATCGACCGTAAGTTCATATTTGCATTTCTTCCGATAATCTCAATTCCATTCAGTATATTTCATTCAGTGCAGATTGCGGGAAGATTTCTGTACTTTAGTCCACGTGCTCTGGCAATGCCCTGTGTTGCAGGACTTCAACAACAGAGAGGAGAAGGCCATCGCGAACTCCGAAACTAGAAGACCAGTCCAAGGCAGTCGAGAGGGCTCGTGAGAGAGCAGAGAGGCATGGCCTCCCGGCTTCAACATGGCATAAGCCGACAGCAAGCCAAGGGTCCTTTGCAGGACTGCACTAGATGGCTTGTCGGGACCTTAATAAAGTTCCGTGTCTGTATGTTTGTCTAGAAATCTAATTCTGTCTGCAGCTTCAATGAAAAAGTGTTTCAACTTTTAATGTCCCCGCTGACTTCCTGGAGAGAGTGTTCCAAAATTATTCTTTATCTGACAAGAACTAATTGATTAATATGCAGGGTTTAACGTCCCAAAACAAGCATATGATTATGAGAGACGCCGTAGTGGAGGGATCCGGAAAAGTCGACCACCTGGGGTTCTTTCACGTGCATGCACCAAATCTGAGCACACCGGCCTACGGCATTCTCGCCTCCATCGAAAATAGAGTCGCCTCAGCCGGGATTCGACGATCCCGCTACCTGCGGGTCAGCAGCCGAATACCTTAGCCCCTAGACCACCGCGGCGGGGCTCCGACAAGAACCAACGAAATTTAGTCGGCGTTGCAAGAACTCTATGCCCCACAAACTATAAGCAAGCACACTGAATTTATTAAAATTTATTCATTTATTTACAGTTACCTGTGGCTTCAGTACTGAGTAATAAGAGGGAAAACATTGTGATCAACTCATGGTAATCTTGCCTTCCTTTTTTGCTAATCATTTGATGATAATAGATAATATAACGTGGAATGGCTAATTGATTTGTGGGGTTTAACGTCCCAAAACCACCATTTGATTATGAGAGACGCGACGTGGGATAGCTACTTTGGCTATTTTTTGTCTTGTGTACTGACTTGCGCGGATTGCGGTATAGAGACCGCAATTACGGTGGTCATTAAGAACCGTGTAAGCATTGCCCCACGCGTTTGTCTGATTGAGATGTATACTCGGGTCCCACCCACAAAAGCTGTTATCAGTGCTCGGCCCCAGACCGCACTTGAATGTTTGGTAAGCTTCGAGATTGTTCGCGACGTCTGTGTCAAGATTCGACAGTGGTCGTGGTAAGTCAACTTTGTTCGAGAGCTTCGATGCCGCCGGTATAAATGTTGACCTGCATTACCACAGATTACGCGACGTGTCATGCAGTTGTCGCCGCTATCAGTGCGCAGCTTGAATTGCTCGTAGTCGACCTTTCATTTTCTGTGCACAAAAGCGCCAAACAAATAGCTCCGTATTAAATACTAAAATAAATAGAAATGAGTACATTAAGCGTACTAGTTCAGTTAGTTAAATGTTTGTCATCAAGGTGCTTTTTAATGGGTCTACTGACTTTCCGGGAAATTACGAATTTTCAGCTGTTTCGGCTAGTAATTTTGTCTTGGGGCCAAGTGGTTGGTAGCACTTCAGCAGATGCTCACAGGCGTGGGTGAGAGGTTGACGTGGTGCTCTGGCAGTCGACTCGGTGCATTCGACCTGAAACATCTCATGACGCAACTTTCGCCTGATTCAAGCATTTCAACCAAGCTTGGAACCTATTAATTGCGCCACACTAGTGTGGCTGTTCTCGTTCGGACAGTTGTTTATTTTCAGAATCAGTTGGCCATCGACAAATGCGTGACTCGGTCACTCATCAAATGCTCAATCTACTCCAGCAAGTGAGAACTGAGATGAGCTCCGATAGACTTCAGCGTCGTAAAACACACTAACACACTTTACGGAGAGCCATAGGTGGTCTGGTTTACTATAGTTATTTTCAGCTGCGACCGTTTATACGCGTGATAAACAGGTCACTGTACTAATAAAATACCTGTTAATAAAGCATAAAAGGTTGTTGAGTGGGGTATCACCGTTTAATTATCTTGTTACCGTCGTCGTTAATCAGAAAATAACCATATAGTAATTCCACTCATTGTCAATATTGTAAGTGCCCACCGAGATTCGATTAATGCGCCGTTTCATACAATCACAGGAACGGAGAAACCCATGTAATTGCTGAGGCTCAGCTATGTTTAGCATAGTATAGTAGTTTATGCGCATGCGTAAGCTAGCAATGAATTTACTAGCGTTACGATTTGAAGCAAGAGACGCGTGCACAGCACATTTCAGTATGTTGCATCGACAAGAAAAAAAATGTTTAAAATGCATACATATACCTGAGCGTACGTAGACAAGTTTTGTGGCGACCTTCTTCTCTGGATCTTTTCATTTGGTAGTCAGCGTTTGAGCAGTATCGTTCCCTTCTCGTGTGCTTGTGTTTGCACGCCCACTTTGCTTCGTGACAAGGTCATTCAAGCAACGCGCTCTACTCTAAGGCCACCACTTTGGTTTCGGTATCGATGAACCAAAAATATTGACAAGCACATAACATCTAAAAGCTAATAAACTACTTTTTTCTGTCACAAAACTAGATTACATTTTACAAAGTGCATATTTATTAGCAATAAACCGTAGTAAAAGTGTTATCGCAAAAAACCGTTTTCATCTTTGTGGCCTCTGGCAACACTCGCCAACTTGCGCGTGTGCGCGTTTTTTATATTCTGCCCATTCTGTAGCGCGTGCCGGTTTTGTTTCGTTCTGCGACCTAGCGTTTCTGCCTGAGGGACCCTCTGTCTTCCCGGTTAACCACCGTAGGGTATTAGTTCAAGATGTCCAACTCCGTCAGCGATGTGTTCCTCTCATTTCAAGAACACTTGGACGGCGAGCAAGACATTCGCGAGGCGAGTAATTCTTTCTCAGCCGGCCTTGTCAAAAACGCACCTTGCGTTTTCGTCTTCCTGCCATTTGTTAATGTGATATAGTGTCGTTAATTCAGACACAGTAGTTTATTTTCTCAGTCCTCCAGAGTGCAGGAGCAGTGCGTTTAATGTACTTTGTCGTGTAGTTACGTGTGTGGTTTCGCGAACATGGCAATAGCGATCCTGAACATTCGAATCGTCGTCGTCGTCGCATGTAGCCAACGTTTAGTGAAGCAGCGGCGATTGGCTGAAACTCGCTGCATCCACCGTTCTCAGGTCATAGCTTAGGTGAGCGCCAACAAGCGAATAAGTTTTCCAGCGATTGTGTTTGCGTTCCAATGTCAGATTGTACAGACGGAATGGCGCTTGTCTAGAGCGCCCAGCCGTGCCGGCCACTTCAACTGCCGTTTTTTGAAGAAACTTGCAAGGACTGGCATCGTGTTAATATCTAACGTTGTTATATTGCATGCTAGGTGCAGTAATTCAAGCATGAAGGGATGCTTGTACTTTGTACCTAACGTGAGGTAGCCGCGGACTACTACAGCGTCCGCAGCGACGTGCTCCACCGCTCGAAACAAGTGTGATTCCGTACAACTACTGCTATGCCACGCAAATTCGGAAGTGGTGAAATTGTTCGATTGCTGTTGCGACGCTACTGTCGTTCTAAAAAAAAAAATAATGCCACTGCATCTCCCCACGAGGGGGAACTGTTGCAGAGTAGGGTGGGTATCGCTTGAAGACGCTGCCTGCGTCGGCCTTGCGAGGCGAGAGAGAGAGAGAGGGGGGGGGGGGGGCAAACAGTTGGCACGAGAAGCAAGCATGCGGCACGAGACGCGAGCATGCGCAGTGGAGGTGTGGAGTGGACATCACCGCCGACGCACGACACGTGACATCGTCCGACTAAGAAATGCTCCGCATTATAATAAAAAAGCTATAAATGATTGATTGATTGTAGGGGGTGTAACGTCCCAAAACCACCGTATGATTATGGGACGCCTTAGTGGAGGGCTCCGGAAATTACGACCACCGGAGGTTCTTTAACGTGCACCCAAATCTGAGCACACGGGTCTACAACATTTCCGCCTCCATCAGAAATGCAGCCGCCACAGCCGGGATTCGATCCCGCGAGCTGCGGGTCAGCAGCCGAGTACCTCAGCCACTAGACCACCGTGGCGGGGTACAAGTTATAAATCGACACAGTGCCTAGATATTTGTAAATTTCACTCAGCATAATTGTTTCGCACGTTTTTATGTTTTTGCATTCGTAAAACGACAGAAAACTGAGCTTGTGGGCAAGTGTTCATCATGCGCCGATTCCAACCGGGCGAAATAGTTATGTTGGGGCAAGTGTTCATCATACCAGAACAGCAGGCGTGCAAGCACGGTGTAAAAACACGCGCCCGAACCACGTACGGCATGTATGAACTGTCGTGGTGTAATCACTGTGATGTTGGTGCTAATCTGCTTTGTCAATTTCCACTTTTTTAGCAAATATTTTGGAACTTTCCGTACGTGTGCCTGAATACACTAGCGCTTGTGGGAATATGCACATTTTTCATATTTACTGAGTTCTTCAGACCGATAGGATTTACAGAAACCTCCCTTCACAGTTGCACAGACATTAGCTTCACTAAAGTATTCTGCAAGACGAATGAACTTTTGGATGAGTTCACATATTTTCAGGAAAACCTCGCGAAAAACGTGGTCGAAGAGAGGAAGGAACAATGCGTTTGCGCTGTTGCTTTCTCACTTCGTTCACGTTTTTTTCGTTCATGTTTTTTTGCAACTTTTTTCTGAGAATTTTCTGTCAGTGTCTTAAATATCATTGTATCATTTGTTGCCAATGAACCTAAATTGCTTTTGTATTCTCTAGACTCACATTCAGGCCTTAACTGCTTGCCTTACGTGTCATATATTTCTTTTCCTTCTGCCCTCCTGCATTAATTCCTGTCAAGATTGGCAGTTTATCTTAATAAGGGCAATAACTTTGCCTTTTTACTTGCTTCTCAGTGCTTTAGTAGTGTCATATATAGCAAACCTGACAAAAAAAAACGGCTTTTCATCATCGGAAGACCACCCTCCGGCAAATGGTGTCGCAGCTGCTTTGTGACACTCCTCGACACACTGCTTTGCGATTCCTCACATGATCGCAGAGGGAAGGCAATCTGCAATGGGTTCACAATAACGCAGCGACGCCATTAGCTGGAGGGAGGTCCTCTGATGGCAAAAAGCCACTTTTTTCTTAGGTTGTAGCCTAGTATGACATGCTTGTCTGTGCTTCTAACCTCAGTCATGTTGTCTTCGGAGCAGTTTGTGTTAAGGTAAAATCATCTTTACAGGAAATTCGCTTGGCAGTGCGTGAGATAGAGCAGACGGCTCGTGGCATTCTCACTCTGCTACAAGCCATCCATCAGCAGACTGGCATCAACACCAGTGAGTCCATCATTTCTGAATGCTTCAGCATAATGCCAGCTAAAATGAAAACGATACCAGCTACATTTATTTGGAAATCTACTGCATAAAAGCTTTCCGAATAAAGCCCTTTGTGTGGTGTACAGACTACACACTCTCATGTACTTAAATGTCATGTGTGCATTAACCCTTGTAGTTGCTGTGTTCACATTTGTGGGCAAACAGTTTTTGACAGTCCCATCAGCTAATGGCCGACAGGGAGCCAGATAAAAGGTCCATTCGATTCACTTGCGCTTCCTGAACTGCTTCATGGCGGTGCCATAGTCGTGCAGGGGATGTGTCAGCAAGTGCAGCACAGAAATGGAAATGAATACGAGAGTGCAGATGTCGTGCAAGCCCTTTGCTACTTGTCAGCCAACTCGCTGTTTGTGGAGGCTGTGATTCGTAAAAGACGGTGCCGCTTACGTTGCCTGACATGTACAACTACAAAAAACGTTCACTGTCGCACTTGTTGAGCGCCACTGAAACAGACACGAATGCAATCGGCTGTGTCGCCTGCTACAGCTGCAGCCGTCTTGCGCTGCACGGACTCAGCACTGCGTCACTAGGAGGTGCAGAAATTTGTGAACTTGTTTTGCATGACAGCTGCACTTCCAAATGAATACCGCGATGCCCTCCGCGCCATTTTGAACTCGTGAAACGGATGCCAAATTGCAGGGCCTCCGTGACCAGTTCATTAAGTGCAGGTGAAATTAATAGACCTAAAGTAACTTTGCTTAAACTGAAGCTCCTGCATATTATTGTCTCTTCATTTAACTTGATGCTGCACATTTCTGCCATTGAATACATTGCTGAAGGCACTATCACTTTTGACTAATCATATGTTCTATTCATAATTTTGTTTCCTCACAATGAATATATGACCAACGACACATGCATGTACATGCACATGAACTTCGAGCTCGAAATAAGATTCTGTATAGGCCAAATTAAAACATGATGTCAGAACATATAGGTGTTCGATTGAATCCTAACTATAATTAGTTACAAAATACATGCACAAATTCCCTCATTATTCCTTCTCCTTGTTGCAAAATGACATTGAGTGCCTTGGAACAAGCTTTGTAAATTTGACACATTTACACATCATAACTCACATCTGAACGGGTTAAAAGCCTCAGGGTGATTAAATTTTAATTCGGTAGTCCCTAAATACGATCATCTCGTGATAACATCAGTAGCTGTCACTTGCAAAACACTAGAATTCAACTTTTTGTCTTCCTTAACGTTTAAATCAGGACAGCAAACGGCAAGGTTGCATAAAGCTTAGTATTTTCACGAGGCCAAGGAAAGCTTGCAATTCTTGTTAGCAGGAAAATTTCTTGTTAAAAAGTCTACCTACACTTTATCGAGACAAGGCTGTCGCACCTAAACGCACTTCCATCCCACTGTTAATTTTGCGTGTCTAACACTGTGTGTTGAATGCATGCATCCCTTCACGTACCACAGTTCCCGAGGTGTGCCAGAAAAGCAAGGTACAGTTTGCTACTATAAGGGATCAGTACCAGCTGCTCAAGTCCAAAGTGCCTGAAGGGCAGTACTACAGGTTAGTCTTGAGTTTTATTTTGTTCTGTCATACAAACAAGGTTGTATGACCATTCCTTTTACATTATGTGAGAAAATGTAAAATGTTTTGTTTGTTTTTTGTTTGTTTTTTGGTTATGTGAGAGCCGCGAAGACGGAGAAAACACACAGCTTGCAATCTATATATATATATATATATATATATATATATATATATAGATATATATATATATATATATATATATATATATCGACAAGGCTATGTTACATATCCCCCCCTCACCCCCACTGGCTGCAAAGTATTATGCAGAAGTGTGCCTGTCTTTTTGACATTGACACTGTAGGATAGCCATTGTGGCAGTATGTTGGTGCTGCTAAAAATGTGCTCCTTTCTACTATTGTGATTGTGTTTTTTTTTTTCATTTTTTTTCTTCAGTCTAGCACTCATAGCACCGCAAGTCTGTTCAGCCCTTGTTTGTATTTCACGCAGGTTCCATGACCACTGGAGGTTTGTCACTCAAAGGCTGTGCTTCCTTGCGGCCCTCACCATCTATTTGGAGGAGGAGCGCCTTGTGCAGCGTGAGCAGGTGGCCGACTTGCTAGGCGGTGAGTTCAAACTTGATCCAAAGACAAATCCAAAGCAAATAAAGAAATAGTAAGCATAAGGTTTTTTTTTTTTTTATTGTGTCATTTGCCGACACTATTTCAGAGAGTAAGTCAAGCGGAGAAAGTTTTGAATAAACGTTAGAGCTGTCCTTGTAACCTCTCAAAGCAGTTAGTACTGTGATGTAGATGATACCAAGCTGTGCTGGAATGTTCACGTTTAGGTCTAGTTATTCAATCGATCGCAAGTAATTTTGCTCTAGAGGGTCTGTACCATGATGATGTAAATACTGAGGTTGCAAATCTAATCGAAACTGTAAGGACTGCAATCAGTAATGCTAGTAGTACCATATCTTCTCGCTCTTATAACGTCCCAATCTGCCCTTGGATGACCCAAGACATTCTTGCTATCTTGAAGAAAAAACCGTTCTGGTACCACAAATGGAAACAGCATAAACATAATCATTATTACTTAGGGCAGTATAGAGGGTTATGGAATGAATTTGTGGCAATAATCCGCGTACGCAAGAAGAACTACTACTCCAGCTTGATTCAACGTGCGAATGGGGATACAAAAACAATATGGAAAATTATACAAGGAGTCGTAGGAAATTCTAGTGCGCATCGTATTGCTGAAAGATTCAATTCATACTTCAATTAAACTAACTGCTGAAAGATTAAATTCATACTTCACTAGTATTGGTCTGTCCTTATAATCTAGTCATCCTGACTCTAATTACATGTGTTTAGCCAGCTCATATCCAATACCTTCATTACTCATGACAGAATTAGGAGAGCTGTTATCTACCGGTGAAAAAATTGTGTAATAACAAACCCCAGGGCTGGATGGAATCACAGTCCATCTGATCAAAAATATCATAGACATATTAGGTCCCCATCTTGTGCCACATTTTCAATCATTCCCTAGCAACCTCGTCCTACCCTCATCCTCTAAAAAGTCGCCAAAGTATTACCTGTATTTAAAGACAGTGATCGCTCTGACCCTTCGTGTTACCGCCCAATGTTAGTTCTCAGTATAATAAATAACATCTTTGAAAAGCTACTTTCTTCTCGAATCAACAAATTTCTGGAAAAATATCAAATTTTATGTCTGCAACAGCATGGTTTCCGTCCGGGATATTCTACTTTTACTTCAGTTCAAACATTGACACAAAATGCCAACACAGCTTTAAATAGCCATAAACTAGTTTCTATTGTATTTCTTGACCTACAGAAGGCATTCGACATTATCGACCACAGCATCCTTAAAAAAAAATTAAATAACTATGGCTTTAGAAACGAAAGCTTTGAATTTTTTTCCAGCTACTTCACTCATCGTAGTCAAATTGTTTTCTAGGTGGCATCACTTCTTCGCAAAAACCGATAAGCACAGGGGTCCCGCAGGGATCTGTCCTGGGCCCTTTGTTCTTTATATTATATGTAAATGACCTACCACTGGTTATTAATTCTGCAGAGCTACTATTGTATACGGATGATGCAGCTTTAGTTGTTACGGGGGAAAATATGCAAGAAATTGAAACAAAAACAAATGCTGAACTAGCAAATATATCACATTGGTTCAAAGCAAATAAACTTACCGTCAACGCAAAAAAAAACCAAGTACATGATAATCCATTCCCGACATATGCCAATAAATCTAGACAGCATTCAAATAAAGATAAATAATTATGCACTCGAACGCATCAATTCATTTAAATACATAGATGTAGTTATCGACATCCACTGACAACCCAATATAAAATCAGTGTGCTCGAGGTTATCTTCGGGCTGTCATGCATTGTTGCAAGCGAGAAATTATTTCGACCTTGCAATATTACGGATATTGTATTTTTCTCTCATCCACTGTCATCTGTCCTACTGCATTGATTCATGGGGTTGGACTTACACTACATACCTGGAGCCTTTAGGAAAACTACAGAAGCGCTCACTAAGAATAATAACGCACTCAAGCCACGATCATCTCAGCGCACCCCTGTTTAGTAAACTACAAATTTTACCAATGGACAGTTTGCGTCAACAGAGAACAGCCATCGCCATTAATAATATCATAAGGTATAACCGTCCTGTTCATTCGTCCATTCTTTGCTCCTCATCCCGCCCTATGAGGAATACTGCTGCGAGTAATTTTAACCTTCCCTCCCACGAACAACGTTTTATGGAGAACGGCGTCTGCCGTTTGTCGGTACCAAAACTGGAATAGATTGCCCCAGTATATAAAATCGGCTGTTAACTTTCCTCTGAAAATAAACACTTCCTTGCAATCCTTAATGTGTCTCTGTAACCCCCTTAATAGTAACAAAATCGTTCAATTCTTGTATATAAGTATCACTACGTCCAGTGAAAGTTTACTGCGTAGTTGGTATTACTCATTGCCTTTTTTTTTTTGTGCATAAAAACTACATGTTTCTGTTATCTAACCCAAGTTCGAGTATCTGACAATATATGTCTGTACAATGCCTAACTTTCTTTACTATATCCGCAATGTTTAGCATGTTGTATCCTGGTTCAATGCCTTGTTTTATTGTTTTACTACATGTGCTATTGTTGCCTTGTGCTATCGTTTGGATACTGTGCCATCTTGTATCGCATCATTGGACCATATTCTAGCCTTTGGCTATGGGTCCGAACAGTTTTTTGGTCTATCATGTTGGAATTGAAAATAAAGTGAAATGAAATTAAATGAAACGTTCAAGGTTATGCCTTAAAGAGTATTGTTTGCAGTATGCAGAGAAGTAAATGTTATTCATATGTTAATTGCATGATAAAGCATTAGTAGGATGCCTAAGTACTTGTATCGCTTGGAAATGTAGAAATATAATTTATTTGTGCAAATTCTCTTGGGTAGTGTGCACAGTGTCTACTGCAGGATTCACCGTGTTGTATTTGAGCTGTGCCTTTTCCCTTTGCAGTGTGTATAGAGCAAGACAAGGGCTTCCACTTGGATCTGGATGACTACTTGAGTGGGCTGCTCATGCTGGCTGATGAGCTGGTTTGTTGCTTCATTGATCAGACTACTGTACAGGCTGTGTCGAAGCAAACACATTCAACATTGTAAATGTGTCCGATTTTTCAAGGCATCATTACAGCAAATCGGCACAATTTTTTCCTAAATTTCATGTTACCGGATGCAGCTGCAAACATTTTTTATGAGCACCACCTCTAACGCGATAGCATTGAAGAGCTCAGTTATTTAATGCAGTATGTTTCTGTTAGCACAGTGTATCAGTTCAAGGGTCACTGAAATGGTTTTTTTTTTTTTTTTTCACATTTCGTTTTTGCTAGGAGGACCATTGTTGGAGCAAATCATTTGTATCGTGATTCAATCTAAACACCTTTCATTAAAGAAGATTTTAATAATAGCTAATTTTCTTCTCCACTCAGTCTTTCACACTCAGTTTTCCTTCAAACGCTCGGGGCTGAGCTCAGTCTTCTAGGGGCTATGCATTACAATGTGGCATGAGAGGACGCTTGCTTGATGGCATGTCGTCTGCTTCTGGCAAGCCAAAGCCAGTGCAGTATCTACTAGTGGGTCAGGCGCTTAAGCCGCCAGCTCAGCTGGTATCGTAGTTTCAATCAGGGCCACGGGACCACTAACGGCAAGAACGCTGACATCTTGGAACGTTACCATCGTTGCTATCACACTACTTTAGACATTCACCAAAATTAGCGCCATACAATGCTCGCATTGCTTGTCATATCAATTCTAAAAAAGCATTTGCACAATTAAGAACCTGTGGATGTTGTGTTTATTTAAATACCTTTACAAAAGATACCATGGATATTTATGCTATTCATTGTGCGCAAAAGGATTATTTCCAGGCTGTTTTACTAGATAGTACTGCCGTATCGCACCCGAGAGTGCACCCAGATATACTGAAGATGTTCGCTGTGCACCAGAAGTCTTGAAGTCTAGTTGTATATTGCAATTGTGCTTGCTTTATTTGTGACTAATTTTTAACCTAGACAAATTGAGAGTTTAAAAGGTTACAAAGATTTGTTCACACTTATGTTGAAAACATTGGCTGTCTGTCACTTGCATTGTATGTCTAATCAGGTCAGCCGCCTGCGTGACGTCGTGCTTCTGAATGTCGTGTGCTCGAACTGGGCGAAAAAAAAACTCGTTTGGCTGAGCCACTGCGCTCAGCAGCGATTCACAGCTTTAAAGTGGAATAAATTGTGCAGCTTATGCAGAGAGCTTAGATCAGCCTGTAAATGATCCTTAGGACTTTCAGTACAGCCCAGTGTGATTGTACAAAATCAAAAGCACTGTGATAAAATAGGTAATCTACCCAGAAAGTTTAGGTCAGTCTGTAAATGATCCTTAGGACTTGCAGTACCGACCCAATGTGTTTGTACAAAATCATCAAAACAGTGTGAGGGTCGCTCTAAAGAATGCTTACATGAAACAATGTAGACTGATGAAAACTATACTCATGTTAATATCATCGGTGTATTAACAAAAGAGTAAATGCAGGTCAAATTAATTTTTCTGTAGGCTTGAATGACTACATGACATAACAAATTTCAAAATCTTTATCTTTGGCAACATTGGTTCAACAACTTTTTTTTTTTAATTTTGCATTAGTAAAGTTCAGCTAGCAAGGATAACCTTCCTGCTGTGCACGATTTTTCGTGCGATTATGCACTGTAAGCCTCTAATACCCTCCTCTTTTTCTTTTTTTCACAGAGCCGTTTTGCTGTGAACAGTGTGACTGCTGGAAATTATAGCTGGCCAATGAAAATATCAAAATTTGTGACAGAGATGAATTTGGGATTCCGACTGCTGAACTTAAAAAATGATAGCCTTCGCAAGAAATTTGATGCACTGAAGTACGATCTCAAGAAAGTGGAGGAAGTTGTTTATGATCTGTCGATCCGAGGACTCAAGCCTTCAGGTGATGCCGACTTGATGCCCAAGAGTGGCTGAGTGTGGGTGTCTCATTAGACCTGGCCATTAACTGTTTCATCTTGTTCTGTTCTGTTTGTCATCACATTCTTGTTCATTCATTTGGCAGTGGAAGCCATTGAATAAAAGGGTGTTCAGTTTTGTTAAGTACGTCATGTTCTGCCTGTATTGTTCTTGAAGAAATGGGTCTGGGCCGGCCACATAATGCATAGAACAGACTGTCTGTGGCCAGTCCCAGTGTAGTGCTGTTTATGACAAGTTCAGTACGTACCAACAAGACTGCATTAACACTTTATTTCAGTGTCCATACCTATTGAAAGCTGTCATTGAGTTGTTTCTTGTGCAGTTGGAGCAACTGTAATCCACGCAGTTGATTGAAATTCATTTGACGCAACTCAACGTGCAACAATGTGTTGCTGCCTGGACACCTTTACAAGTGTACATGCTGCACTGAGTAGTAAATGAAACTTTCAATGCCAAAGTATTGTGAGTACAACACACGAGGACGCGAAGGCCAGGAAACACCATACAGCACCCACCACGTAAACCCAGTGGCAGGCATGGGTCGTCTGTTGAATGAAAACATCGAAAATAACGCCGGACCCATCGCACCGCAGCGCCACATTTCGGCCAAGTTTCAGTGCATACTTGAAAGTGAATGTAGAAGTCTGTGTGTTATACAATTGAATGTATTTTGCAATGTGAAGCATGCATATGTTATCATTAGCAGCAGATGTCCATGTTTCCCTCAACAGTACATAAGTGCAGGGGAGATAGATGCCTGCACAAATTAACATTTGAAATGAATTCAAGTGCACATGTCAAGGATGCTTCTTTTATGTTATTTATTTTTCATGCATGATTGATACTACACTCTCCATAATTGAAATAGGCATTTTGCAGTGAAATATGCAAAGTAACATGTCGAACTACACTGAAATTATAGGTCATTAAAAAGAAATGCCATAGTTCGAATGATACCTCTTACTTTCTCTTACTTTTTTACACTCAAAGATCACAGGCAAAAATGACAAGCCACTTTGCTGGCTTTGTCAGCGGTAGCCGTTTGGTGCTCATTATCAGAACAGTAAGCACAATTCCTATTGATTCATTGCGTGCCGCGTGCCCAAATCGAAGACGGCAACACACCAAGGCTCCCGAGATCACCAGCCGCTATAAAACTGGGAGTCGGGATTCTGATCTTGTGGCCTCCTTTTCTCTTGTTTCTTTCGTTTGGTAAACCTGGAAAACATGGCAAGAACTCATTTGAGCCGGCCATATAACGGCGTTAGACATTACATCATAAATTAGATGCAACTGAGCCATCTGAAAGGCATTGTGATTTTACAGAGCATTTCGTGCATCACGTTACGTTTTGCTGAAAGGACGTTTTATATTTCACTGCTAAGCATAAGCAAGAGTAGAGTTCTCCTTCAGGGAGGTTCGTTGCAGCGCCTATAATGCCAGACTTTGGGACCCCCGCCTCCTGTGTGGACGCCTATGTGGCTGAGCACTCATTCCTATGGTATCATTATTCATGCCTACTTATTTCAAAATTTACAGGCATGTGGGAGCTACTTTTACAGAAACACAATCTTCCAATATTTCTGTTGGCGGAAAGGCTTGCCAGTCGCACCTATGCGTCAATGCAAGAAACAGCCTAGCCACGATGTCGATGGCCCTGTTATTGTGCATTGCAAAGCTGCATCATGTGAACAGATTGTGGCATTTCACTGTGCACTCACAGCTTGCAAGTGGGACTCCTGCAAGGCACAGCTGCAGCATCCTGAGGGTCGTCCTCTGTCCTATCGGTCCCGTCTTCGGTAGCAGCACCTGCACTGGTACCCCTCATTCCTGGAATAATTCAAGTTATATATAATGTTTGCATTGATGACACTATGGCGGCCATCTTAGGGTCCCCAGCTTGCTGTTATGCTGTGACAGCTCAGACTGAGACATCAGATAAGTGTCGGTGCCCCCCTCACGTTCCTTTATGTTCCCTCTTGGCGCAGCTCACCAACAGCAAAAAGTGGAGAGGCACAAGTGTGATACACATTCTAGGAACCATAGCACAAGTCATGGTTGCCGCCATCTTAGGACACCCAGCACAACAGTGCAAATACCTGTAACATGCGTAATACTATATATATATAGAGAGAGAAAGAGAGAATAATAGCAGGTTTCATTTAACGTATGTGCACCTAAATCTAAGTACACGAGCATCTAGCAGTTCGCCGCCATCAAAATTGACATCAACATCCAGGATCGAGCACGCGTCCTTAAGGTCGGCAGCTAAGCACTATAACCACTATCACGGCCCCTGGACTGTAGACAAGGGTGGCAGAGAGAGATAGAGTTGCTCAATGGGTCAGGCAAGAGTGAGCTCCCCTTATGGATCCCTAAAGGAGGCCTGTACCGTAACTCTAGATCAGGCGATAAGGAATGAGTATGGCTTTTACCAGGAACAAAAATGTTTTTATTTTCAGGGAGCGGTGTTCAGTCATACTTTATTGATATTCGTTAATGAGTTTATATGTGCGTGTTCGCATTACCAGACATGTGATACTGAAGATATGGAAGGCGCAGAGGAGGAAGGTTGAGCTCCCCACAACATCTGGCTACGTGCCATGTGGCTTTCACACTTGACTGGTAATCGTTGGCTAATTCCTTTACAGTTTCAATCAGCGATGAGTTTGGAGTATCGAACCAACGTGAGGTGCGGTATACGCACGTCAAGGTGCTGAGCCCTGCGCGAGTAAAGTGATCTGAATGAATAGTGGTGTAGCCATATTTCTTAGGGCTTAGACCAAGCACGAAAGTTGACCAGCGGCTTCCCTCGGCGGCGATGCAAATACTTATCACAGGATCACGTCGCCGTATGACGTCACTGTGACGCCACATTGTGAGACGTCATAACGTGAATTCGTAGCTCAGTCGAATCACCGAGGCATCGCAAAACTGGGTAAGGTGCCTCCAATTCTAGGGGCAAAAACCACGTCAGGCGCAGAAGGCGTTCATAGTATAGTGAAATAGGATGACAGGCTGGACTTCTGAGAGGAAAGAGAATGGTGCCTTTCGCCTTCCAGTAGTTTAGGGTGGGTGCAAAATGGACCCTGTGAGGTATTCGAAGATAGTGGGCGAAGGGGTGTGTAAACAAATATTAACTGAAAAATTTTCAAGAGGAATGAAACACGCCCAATCTGGCTGCGCCTGTGGCTGCGCCTATGGCCCACAGCGTCCGCCACGGAGAAAGAAAAAGAAATGAAGCATGCATTTACGCCCCACGAGTGAAGCCCACCATGTCGGCCCAAAATGTAAACGAAACGTCACAGTGTGCGGTAGGTTTTAGTACTCGGTGGTGGTCCGTTTTTAAAACCTCCAGCGTGAGCCGGCTGGTCTGCGCCGAACAATTCGCGTTTCGATTATAAGCTACCGGGCGCCTACAGTGCGCGGGCGCCCAAGGAGCGGGCAAGTATCGGCAAGTCTCGTTGCCGGCGTGATGTTGCGCAAAAGGTCACGTGTTGGGCCGACATTTCAAAACGGTTAGGCTGCAGGCTCGCAGCGTGACTTCCTCCCTTCTTTCTTTTAGATGCGGAGCATCTAATACTCGAGGCTTGTAGTGCGGCGCCGTCCGCAGGCTTCCTCCTCCTTCTTCCACCATCTGTGCATCCCTTCCTCCTCTACACACCGCGCGCGCTTCACTCCTCCACCATCTGTGCACCCTTCCTCCTCTACACACCGCGTGCGCTTCTCCTCTTCACGAACATTCGCTAGCTGTATAATGTAGCGCGCATGCGCCGTCACGCTTCGAGAACATCGGCAGCTGACGCGCGCGCATGCGCCGTTGCGCTTCTCCCCCTTCTCGAACATTAGACTGGACACCGTCACCCAACGATACTGTCGCGCGCTCGAAGACGTTGACTCCGAGTCCCATTTCACCCTGGCACTGCTCAACACCCGGTCGCTCACGCGGTTGACGTCGTGCGAGATCCCGTACTACGCAGAGTGGACGTGCTTTGCTTCACCGAGACGTGGAACGCCAATAACGTCGACGTTGCGGGATACGCTTCGGTCGCGCGCACGCACGGGTTCCAACGACCTGCGGGCGGTGTGGGAATTTACGTCAAGCGTGACGTCGACAACGACGACGACGACTTCATTGACCTCCGACTACAGCCCGGCGTTCAACAACGCGCCAACGGCGAGCACTGCGTTGCTACCGTCTGTGGCGTCGACGTCATGACGATGTACCTCGCGCCAAACCTCTCTCGTGCCGCCGTACAAAAGTACGTAGACGAGGCCGTGCAAGATTACAGAAAACAACAACCGCAACATCGACCGTTCATGCTAGTTGGCGACTTCAACGTCGACGTCATCAAGGACGATTGGATAGTCGAATACATGGCGTCGCGACACTCGCTGAAACGCGCAACGCACGACGACTGCAAACACCACCAGCCGACCACCATTCGCGGTACCTGCATCGTCCACGTCTTTGCAAATTTCGACCTACGACCGCTGCAACCCGATCCACTCACTCTTCACTTTACCGACCAAAAAGCCATCGTGCTCAAAGTTCGTCGCAATAAATAAACACCGTCCTTTCGAATACGTGTCGTACGTGTTCACTCATTTAACACCTCTCCTACAACCACGTTAACCAATTTAGCCAGCGACCCAAGTAAGTCGCAATTTAACACCCCATTTCACAACCACGTTAACCAATTTAGCCATCGACCCAAGTAAGTCGCACGTTAACACCCCGTTAACCAATTATATGCTCCGCATCCTCCTCAGTGTTCCCCCGAGGGAAGCTGCGGGCAATTTTTTTTATTCCTCCACGGAGTGCGCAAACTCGAAAAAAAGGTCCCAGCAACAGCCAGCTTACGTCCAGACGCACACGTTGCTTCAAACCTACCGTCATTTTATTCGACGTCCTTTTCTCTCAATGTTCTTTCCCCTGAAGATGTGCTTTGGCTGACCACTTTTGATCAGAACATGGGTGGTGCCTGTTGCTTTTTCCTTTCTCGCGTAATCACCTGGCCTTTTTTCGGACAAGTCCCATTGTTAGGAGAATGTATGGACCCCACTATGAGCGCACGCGCGTGTGGGAACGAACACAGCTAGAAAATAAAGAACTAATAGACCAT